TCACTTTTGCCTCCTGAGGATTATCTAGAAGCACAACCAAGCTTCTCGCCGACATTAACATCGAGGTAAGAAACTATTTTTCCTCGAAGAATATGTCCATGAACAAGGAAGGAAGAAAGGAACGAAGACCATTTTTGGTTTAAGGCGATGAAGGATTTTCCCACAATGAGTTTCCATTGAATTTCACAAAGCCTTGCTTTCCAAAAAGTTGTTTTTTATTCAGGGTGGACTGCAGTTTCGACCTCGCATAGGTCATATCAACGTCCCCAGCGGGAGTCGAACCGTGACAGTGCAGATTGTTAGCTTGACACGTTAGGGCCTCGGCCACATTTCCACGACTGCCCTTAGGTCACAGGGCAGATGTGAATTTCAAGGAAGGCCAGGCTTTTTCCCATATCGCATTCTTTGGTAGAATTGTTGATGAAGCAAACGTATATTCGTATATTCGACTACGTAACTTATTTTTTGTATGTAAGTATATTTTCGAGACTACCAGTAAATCAATAATATGAGATGTATTCACCCTATTTCATTTAAGGTGATGAAGGACTAGTAGTAGAATTTTCTCACATTGATATGAGTAGAGCTGACGTTTCCATTGAATTCCACAAAGCCTTGCTTTCCCAAAAGTTGCTCTCCTCCAGGGTGGACTGCAGTTTCGACCTCCCATAGGTCTTATCAACACCCCCAGCCGGAGTCGAAACGTGACAGTACATAATGTAAGGTTGACACGTTAACCACTCGGCCACATAGCCACGAGTGCCCTTGGGTCACAGGGCAGATGCGAATTTCACGGTTACGCCAGCTCTAACATATCATTGTGGGAAAATTCTACTACCAGCCCTTCATCACCTTAAAAGAAATAGGATGAATACATCTCATATTACTGGTAATCTCGAAAATGTATTTCAATACTAAAATTTTTTTGTTTACCCATATTTCGAATGGTGCTGCACTAAAACCCGTGGACATGCTTGTGATTGGAGGCTACCTAGCTAATAAGGACCGCAGAATAAACTTTTTAAGCATACAACTGGCACACACAACTATTATAAATATAAAGCCAGATCTATGGAATCTAATTAGGTTATATCTACTTAGAACATAATGAATACGGACCATTGAGTATAGGATGACTATAGCTGCTTAGGGGGTAGTAAATTAATTGAAAAAGTTTCATAATCATTGATAATCAACTGATGGGCAGTAACAAGATGCAAACTGTTGTGGCATCCACAATAGCTTTTTTTATCCAAACAATCATCCCCTAATTTCCTCCTCATCTTACTATAGGTGATCGAAAGGAGAGTAACAGTCATCGTCGCCTGAAGCCACTAGTAATTCGCTTGTCGAGAACTGGCCATCTCTCTAACCGATCCATACATCGTCTCCGGCTTCGACTCCTCCCAATGCTGCAACAGCTGACCTCTTGCCAACAACTTAATCGTACCAAACAGACCGGCCCATTACTTACACACACAGAACGTTTCGATTCTGATGGGTCCAACACACAGAACGAAATTTTTGCAGCTGGTTTTTCATCCAATCGTAATGCTGGACGTAGGCGACCATCCTTATTTGCTTGGTTCACGCTTTACGAGGGCAGTGTCTCTGAGGTCGGGCTTGACAACCTCAAGCCTGGCTCCCTAATATGGTTCCGCGTCAGGGCCGCCCATCAACGGTCTTCCTCAATATCCTCTGAGGTGGCACCTGGAGTTATTGGATCAATTCCACCATCCCCTTCGACCGCAAGCCCTAGCAATATCTTGAGACTGCATGAGGCTAATGATGAACTCCGATGGGGCCGTGCATCAAAAACTCCACTAGAAGTTCATCTTCCTGCCACTACTCCGGGCCCACCAACAGCAGCACCGCGGCTAGTTGGCAATCCGGAGCCTGTGCAACTTCAAATATCTTGGCAACCTCCTTGTGATGACGGTGGCGCACCAATTGTGGCTTATGAGGCAAGCGGCTGAAAATAAATATTTGATGCCTAAGTAGAACTCGTTTCATTCAACTGATTAGTCTTGAATGGATAGAGCACTGTTTTAAAATCGCCTGCTGAAAACCATTTTCTAAATTATTAAAATTAAATTTTGCATATTTATTACATGTGAAATCCTTTCTTATTATTTAAGCAATTATATTTAATCGGCAACTCTAGCTAGATAAGGATTTCTTTCTAGAATCGTAATAAACTT